GGGGAATCCAGCCCCTCCCCCTGTCACGGCAGAGAGCCGTGACAGGATCGAGAGGTGAGGGAACCCGGTATGTTTTCCCTCACCTCCCAATCTACTGAGCCGACCTGTGACAGTCTCAGGGTGCCCACACACCTTACGATTATCGTACGATAATCGCGGGAAATCCCGCGATCGTACGATGTTCGTAAGGTGTGTGGAAGCCGTGCGACCTCTACTACTGTAAGGTCGCACGACTTTAAACTTACGGACATGTTTGAAAACCCGCCGAGCATCGTACAATGTTCGGCGGGTTTGTGGCATGTCCGTACGATAACAGCCGCACGGGGCGGTGTGCGGAAGCGCACACTGCCCGTTTGGCATTGCGGTCATCGGAAGCCCGCGTGGCTTGCGATCATCGCAAGTACGATCTGCCTATGCAACATAGGCAGATCGTACGTTTTTTTAAGTACCTTACAACCATCGCAAGACAGAAGTCTTGCGATGGTTGTAAGGTGTGTGCCCAGCCTCATTGTCACAGGTCAGCTTAGAACTATGAGGTGAGTGGAAATCACTCATCGCATAGTTCTCCTTTAAAGCAGGATAGGGAAGAGGGGGGAAAAAAAGTTTGCCTTTGTCACTTTAACTGAACAAAGAGAAGCTGATTGGTTGCCATAGGCAACGGCTCCAGATTCTTCTGCTCCAGTTTTGATAAATTCCCCCCTTAATGTTGTATTTTTAGTGACAGCTCTGAGCCTGCTGACGTCACATCAAAGACGTAGGTGCCCAGCAGCAGTCTCACGGACTTTGGATGTCAACACAAGGGAGACTTCGACAGGCCAATAACATGCATATAAGCCATATTATAAAACGGGCAGATTCTTGTTTCTAAATCAGGTGACAGGGCCTCTTTAACGACCCTAAAACGAAATAACAGATATTACTGTGATCTGCCATAACAGAGCTCGGGCCGAGACCCGCTCCCAGCACGTGTAAGTGACCGGGGAGTGCCAGCCGCTCTCATGGACGCCGCCATGCTGCCTGTCCGCTGCGTCGCCATTCAGGGGCCCTACTCACCCAGCGGCTCCAGAGAAAAAGCGGCCATGCCTCTGTGTGCTGGGAGACCTGGCTCACCCCAAGACATTCAAATACCGCGATTAGTAGGACGGAATCAGCTGAGCGCCGGGAAGTCCCGGAGTGACGTCACTTCCGGAGCCGCTGCTGAGCTTTAAACGATGCGAGAATAGCGACAGCTGGCGGCCATAGTGTGAAGTGCAGTTTGTGCAGAGTGTCGCTCCTCCTCCTCTGCAGAAACTGACGGTCAGCGCTGAGCTTTCATTGTGAAAGCTGTCATGCTGTTCCCCATTCTTCTATATCTGCAACAAGTTTGTAGATCGGTTGCTCTGACAGCTGAACTCTAGGAAATAACTTTTGTATTCACCTGCAACCCGTCTGTAAGCATTGAACCTCATAGGCCCGGCCGGCTTCAGTACGAAGAAGATGGGTGGGTGGCTCACTCACATCTTTAGCCATTCAATAAATGGTTTCTTTTCAGTTTGTTCAGTTAAAGTTTGAAAATGAAAGGAAGAAGCTGATAGGTTGCCATGGGCAACTGTTCCGGATTCTGTCTGCTCCGGTTTTGATAAATTCCCCTCCTTGGGTCCTGTGTTAAAAATACAAGTTGTTTTGTGCATGGCCAAGGTAGGGGTGATCCCTACATTATTGCCGCCCAGGGACGGATTAAGAGCATCATGGGCCTGGTACTGTCGGTTGGTCAGATGGCAAATGCAGAGGCGGCTCTCTAATTAAGCGGCCACTAGCTCCTCAAAAGCCCCAGCGAGTGGCCACTTAATATGCCTGATTAGAGTGATGACGGGGCCTCTACCAGATTGTGTTCAGCCCGGCCGGCCCAGATTGCCATCGGGCATACCGAGGCAATCTGGGCCAGCCAGGCCCCTACGTTAATCTGGCCCTGTCGTCGCCTAGTGTTTCAGTATGGGGCACATGAACGCTAGGGGATCCAGTGCATGCACAGACATACTGTACTACAGGTCTCTGCAAGCTCCCGAATACCTAGCAGAGACTTGCGGCACGTCTGTGCACATCTGGGATACCACGGTGCACATGCACATATCAATAAGTCACCCCGAAAAGGAGTTCAAGGATGGTGCCGCCATCAGAATACAATGGAGACAGCGGGAGATTCCTCGATCAACGCTCCTAAGCATTAATGGCGGAATCTCATATTTACTTTGTTCAGCCCGCAGGTTGAATGAAGAAAATATTACAGTGTATGGGCAGCTTTAGTTTGATGATTGTGGTGCAATTCCACTTTTACAAACAATAACCAATCATGTGCAAGGAGATTTTTGTTAATTGTATTTTTGCTTGCACTTGATTGGATGATGGTAGTCAGTGGAGCTTCCACTCATTCACTAAACTAAAGCTGGCCATACACCTTACAACCATGGCAAGACTTTCGTCTTGCCATGGTTGTAAGGTAATTAGAAAAACGTACGATCTGCCCATCTTGGACAGGCAGATCGTACTTGCGATCATCGCAAGCCGGCCGCGCTGAGGAGAGGGGCTTCTGATGACTGCAATGCTGAGCAGGCAGTGTGCGCTTTCGCACACCGGCCCGTGCATCATTTGTCTTACGAGCAGGCCACAAACCCGCCGGAAATCGTACGATTTTCAGCTGGTTTTCAAACATGCTCGTAAGACAAAAGACGTGCGACCGTACAGTACAAACGGTCGCACGCCTTCCATACACCTGACGATTATCGTACGATCGCGGGATTTCCCGCGATTATCGTACGATAATCGGCAGGTGTATGGGCACCTTAAAGTGACATTAAACCCTCAGATTTTTTAACATAAAACAATACTGTAATGTGTGCCTTACTGTAATCCATGGTAGTTTCCCTTCTCTTTGCTGCTCTTCCTTTTAAATCTGTATCTGTTCTCATGCTGGGCAGAACTTCTGTTTTGCAGCAGACTGCCTTGTCTCAGGAATGGCTACATGGTGTCTGTGTATAGGTTTGCAACCTGAGCCAGCACTACAGGAAGAGGCCCTGAGCTGCAAAGGGAAGTTCTCCCCAAGCATGAGAAGAGATTCGGATTTAAAAGAAAGAGCAGCAAAGAGAAGGGAAACAACCATGGATTACAGTAAGGCGCACATTACAGTATTGTTTTATGTTAAAAAATCTGAGGGTTTAATGTCACTTTAAGAGGAAACCTCCCCTGCAAAGTGAACAGCCTATTTGCCTTTTTCCCTGTAGTTAAAGTGGAACTCCAGACTTGTTATAAGTATTGGTTGACGTGGGAAGAGTTACAAACACTGAGGTTCTCTTTATTGCTGTCTGTGTCAACAGTAGGAAATCTCCCAACCACTTCCTGTCCTGGTGACACAGCAATAACAAATCCCAGCCACTATTCACACCTCAGCTTTTTGTTGTGTGTTTCCTGATTCACGACGGCGCTCAACATTTGATGTAAGAGGAGGCGGGGTTGCTCTTAGGCGAGACCCGCCTCCTCTTTCACTTGGAACGCCGGCCTCTTCTGCCGTAGCTGCTGGCTGTCACTGACACAGTTCCAATTGACTGAAGATGACATTTTTCATCTCGGAACGTTCAGCTACGCAAGCTCTCACAAGCTGACGTGCCAAGGAGAAAATTACATGACACACTGCTCGCACAGGCAGTGCGCCACCGATCCGCGCTGCTTCACGTGCAGTGTGTCACAGCCTTTAGGTGTCCATGCTCGGGAGTGAATGGGGGGGTCACAGGTTCTAACACTTTTCTACATATTCAAAAATAGTTTGATGAACACGGGGATGACATCATGTGTCTTTCATGGCCTTCATCATAGGATCTAAACACCAGTGAAGCTTTATGAATAGGTACAGAGTGTGAACCTTCCAACTCCTTAATTTCCTAAAACAGGTAGGCAACCTTGGCACTCCAGCTTTGGTTGAACACATGATGCGTTGCAAGTTTCTGACCGCCACAGAAATGACTCCCAGAGGAGGAGACATGACGGGATTTGTAGTTTTGCCACAGTTGGAATGTCAGGGTTGCCTACCCCTGCCTTAAAATATCTGAAGGGTCTTCTGGTTGAAGGATGGTTCAATACTCCAATACATACAGGTCAGGTCAGAACTTGCGTGGCAGCATTTCAACAAGGCATGAAGCTTTCTGCAATAAAGCCCAAAAGGATGAAATGCATTAGTGGTTGGAGTCCGTCAGGTGGGAACTATAGTACTCTGTCAGCTAGATTGTAAAAAAAGATATAGTATTCGAAGACTGGTAGTGTGCAGCCATTTTTGGATTGACTTGGAAGGCATGAAGCTGTTCTGGCAGCTGGTGGCATAGTTCCTTTTAGGTCTTCGATATTAAAAGCAATTCCAGCACACATCTAACATTCATTAGTGGACTGCAAAAGCTTTCAAGAAAACAGTGCAACCCCTGGGAAGTCATAAAGTTCACTCAGTCTACTTGATGGTTTCTAGGTGATCCTCCAGTGACTGATTCCAGTGAAATCCTCAAATGTGGGGTGGGTAGCAGGGGCGTAACTAGAAATCACAGGGTCCCATAGCAAAATTTTGTATGGGGCACTGTGATTTCTAGTTATGCCCCTTGCAGAGCCCACCTCCTATCCCAAACAGCCCACCTGAGAGTGACCCTGCAAAGCCCACCATCGACTGGGCTGGCACACCTCTTACCATTCAGCCCCTATCCGCTCCCCCTCCACGGTCACCGGGCCCCGACTCCTCCTCCACCATGGTCACTGGCTCCTCCTCCGTCGTCGGTCCCCCCGCCTTCAACGCTGCTGACGCTGGGCCCAGGCTCCTCCTCCTTCGCTGCTGGCTGTCACTGACTCAGCAACGGCTGTAAGGAGGAACGTGCTACGGCACAGATCACTGGCAGGTTGTCAGTGATCTGAACAGCGGCACGTTCCTCCTCACAGCCGCCGGTGACAGCCAGCAGCCTGCAATGCCATAGCGACCCAGGTGGCCCGCACGGCATCAGGGGGACCCCTTTGTTCCTCGTCCTGGCCCGGGCCCCATAGCTGCTGCCTGGGTTGCTATGGTGATAGTTCCGCCACTGGTGGGTAGGTGGGCCTTTTACTGAATCCTGCATTGTGACTTCCTTTCTTTCTGCCAGATGTATCACCAATCAAAGTCAGATTCTCAAGGCATGATTACATATTTTTGGTGTCTGTGATGAAACTAGGGATGCACCGATACTAGTATTGGTATCTCGTCCAAATACTCCCGATCCCTAGCCCGATACCGAAACTTCCGATATCAGTAAGCCGGGCGGTGAGTCATTACACACTGCCCGGCTTCCTGATTAGCCAGGAAGCTGGCTCCATGCTCTCTTGTCATCAGGGAGCATGGAACGTGTAATGACTCTGCGCCCAGCTTCCTGATTGGTTGGTCAGGAAGCCGGGTGGCGAGTCATTACCCACCCCCCGGCTTCCCGATTTACCAGAAAGCCAGCTCCATGCTTCCTCGTCACTGGGTGACAAGGGAGCATGCAGACGGCTTCAAGGCTAATCGGGAAGCCGGGCTTCGAGTCAATACACGCTGTCCGGCTTCCTTATTGGGACTTCTGGTATCGGTGAGCACCGATTAAAAAAAATATCGATAGTCGACATCGAAAAACCGGTAACGGCGCATCCCTAGATGAAACTCAACATGTCACTGACACTTCAATTCATCAGGATTTCTAAATATTAGAGAGCGAGGAGCCTGCAGGAGCTTTATTGTGTCTTCAATTTAGGTAAGCACACAGGAAGCCTAGATGATCAGATTAGGGGTGGAGGTGGACAGGTACACCACAACAATACAGTACTTGGGTGAGATACTGAAACCCCAAGCAAATAGCCCGTGTTCCCTCTGTGGCTTTAAAGAAAAATTCTGGGCAAAGAAAACATACCCTTGCAGTAGGACTGCCTCCACAGTGCAAGGGTGAAGTGCTCATATAAAGCTGTTTTACTTACCTGATCCAGGTTCTCCCGGCCGTCAGCACTCACCTCTCTCTTCCTCTGCTTCAGATATGGAATGTCCTTTGGCTTCCTTACATCTAATGCAGGTCAATGAACCTACATAAGATGTGATGATGTCAGTGGACCTGAGACCACCACAACAAATGGGAGAGAAGGCTGCTGGGACCAGTCTAGCAACCTGAAGGAAGCTCGCAGGACATGCAGTGCTCCACACCACTGTCTTACCCACAATTAATACCTCAAGCCTCTCTATTGCATGCATCTGCTCACATCTGTCGCATGTATTGCCTCACATTTCTCTGCTACATGCAGTGCCTCATGCCTCTCTATTGTACATAGAGCATGAAACAGGGAGAATTGAGGCAGTGCAGTTAATGAAGAGGTATAAGACAATGAGGTGAATTTATGAAAACTGGAGCAGACAAAATGTGGAGCAGTTGCATATGGCAACCATTCAGCTTCTTTGTTCAGTTAAGGTATGAAAATGAAAGGTGGATGCTGATTGGTTGCCATGCACAGCTGCTCCAGATTTTGTCTGCTCGTTTTAAGAAATTCCCTTCATTGTCTTATACCTCTTCATTTACTGCATTGCCTCAATTCTCCCTGGCTCATGCTCTTTATTACAGACACTGCCTCAGTTGCTCCATGTTCTATCTCATGTCTCTGTATTGCATGCTGTGCCTTCAATTCTCTTACATAAAATACTTTATCTACTCTACAGTATTTTTCTTTCTTTGAGCCCCCTAGACAAAACGAGCACTTAACCCTTGCAGTGCAGGGGTAGTTTATTATTTGCCCGGAGTTCTTCTTTACATACAATTCTATTCTGACTAGTGTGTACCTTTAATATATTAAGGGGCATATTTATAAATCAGTAAACGCAATTACGGGGCGATGACTAAATCACTGTCAAAACACATGCACCAGGAAGATTCACCTGCAGTGAATATTTGGTTAATGTCAGATTAACGGCTTCATAAATATGCCCCTAAATCAGTGGTTCTCAACCTTTCTAGGGCCGGGACCCCTTGGTAACATTTGCCAAGTTTTGGTGACCCCCCAACGGTAGAATTTAGGGATGATGTGGCTGCTGCAGCGACATCTGGCGGCGTGGCGGGAGAACTGGCACTGCTGCGCTAGGAGAGGGCTGAGGAGGACTCTCACCTAGCACAGCAGAAATCACACAGCGACCTACAGGTTGAGAACCACTGGCGTACGCCGTCAGAATAATAAAAAAAACAACCACCATAGGAATGCATAGCTAGATTCCTAGTTTGCCTGATTGAGCAGAGTAAACCTTCCCGGGAGAAAGTGTTTATCTCCCGGGCCGCTGGGAGCCGCTATCTAATAGCGGGAGAGTCCCGGGCGACCCCTGGAAAATCATCATTCGACCCCCGACGGGGTTGCGACCCACAGGTTGAGAACCGCTGCCCTAAGTGTTTCAATTGATTTGTCTACCTGCTTTGCCTATATGCAATCACAGCTCATCTACCAGGAATAAGGAACACAATTTTCTCATCAAGAAGATTTTATTTAAATATAAAAGATGTAATTTTGTATATAATAAGCAGGACAACCAGGAACACTTGTACTCTGTCTTTTAGATTAATGAATGCACTGAAATTGTTTTGATTTTTCCTATAAATTATTTCCCAATTTGTGCTGAGCACTTATAACCTGAATATCACAGAATACTGTACATTTCTGACCAATGTTAAAGATTAAGGGGGGATATGATTTCCATGTACAAAATGTTTAATGGTGGTAGCAACATTAGCGATAAACTGTTTAAAATTAACTCCGTTACAAAAACTAGAGGCCATCACCTAAAATTGATGGAAAAAAAATTCCAGCACAAGGGGCGAAGGGGGTTCTTCACAGTAAGATCAGTTAGGGTCTGGAACTCACTGCCACAGGCGGTGATTTCAGCAAATAATGTGGAATTGTTCAAGAAACTTTTGGACGATTTCTTAAGGGACCGTAATATACAGGGGTACGGGTACTCCTAGAATGAGATCCTAATAGGTTGGACTTGATGGACTAATGTCTTTATTCAACCTCAAATACTATGTAACTATGTAACACTAAATAAATAATACAACCTTTGTCCCCCTAATTTTTGGTCACTGAGTGAAGAAAAATTACGTGCAGCTGCTATTGTATTTTTTTTTTTCATTTTGAGACAAAATATTAGTGTGCTCAAAATATTTCATAACCTTTTATCATGTCACATATTTTCGCATGACTGCGCTAATTTGAGCAAGTTGAGTTACCAGTTGGGACTGGTAAATGTTAAAATATATGCTAGAAATTTGCATTTTCTGCACATTTGACCTTTCTTCCTAAATTACTTTTTTCCTACATTAAAGCTATAGTAAAATATTGTGATATTAGTCCAGATACTGAAAGACTCAGCAAAAAGTTGTATTTTGCCAAACCAGTGAATGCATGCTTTTACAATCATGTGAGGTTAAAGCAGAACTATGGGGTTAGTTCTCCTAAGGGTAACAGGAGGACACAAACTAGCGTCCTCCCGTCACCCAAAGCTCAGTATAACGCGGACTACAGCTCGTGGTATACTGAGATGCCGCAGCCGGAACGGATCCCGACAATTCTGTCTGGATCCACCCAGCTGTGTGAGTGACAGCTGTCTCTGCCTATCTAGAGGCAGAGCCAGCTGTACCTGCCCTCTCCCCCGTCCTTTCAGCCAGTCAGCGCTGGAGGATCGGACAGGGGAGGGGAGGAATCCCTGCAGGGCACCGTGAGTGACAGTCACGGCTCTCTGCACGGATAGATCGAGAAGTGAGCGAGCGCCGGTATGTGTTCGCTCACTTCCCGAACTACTGAACCGGCCTGTGAAAGTTTCATTGTCACAGGTTGGCTCAGATTATGAGGCTGAGTGAAAATCACTCGCCTCATAATTCTCCTTTAATGTGACACTAAATTTAGGAGTTAAATCCTAAAAATGCATTCAAGTATCGTAACTATTAACAAAAATGTATCTTATTTGTGTATCACTCGTCTGTAGATGCTCAAATCATCTCTGAATTCATGCTGACACTGTCTTTCCTTCTGGAGGGTGGCTACTTTTGTTCCCCATGGTCTCTGTGTGTGTTGTAAAGTAGTCACCGCTCCAAGCTCCCCCCCGTGATGGACTGCAAACTCACGTTTAGCTTACTAATTTAAATCGAGATTGTAGTCCATCACAGGACCCAGTTTGGAGCGGTGGCTACTTTACAACACACACAGGGACCATGGGGAACAAAAGTAGCCACCCTCCAGAAGGAAGGACAGTGTCAGCACAAATTCAGAGATGATTTGAGGATCTACAGCCGAGTGATACACAAATGAGATACATTGTTGTTAACAGTTCAGGTACTTGAGTGTATTTTTAAGATTTAACTCCTAAATTTAGTGTTACTTTAAGGTTGTGGTTGTATATGCACTGTATAAGCCAAACCTCTTTTTAACTTTACTTCTCTTTTGGGTCATGAAGTATATTTACTATTCTTCTCCTGTGACCCACAGTCAGCATATAGTGAGTTACTGCCTGCTCAATGCTATCAGCACAGAGCCATGCTGCAGCCAAGAAAGATCCCGATAATATTTTCAGGATCCACCCAGCTGCCTGATTGACAGCTGGCCCTGCCTTTCTAGAGCCAGAGCCAGCTGTGCCTGTCCCCTCCCCATCTGTCCCTCTAATAAATGTTGGAGGAAAAGAAAGGTGAGGGGGGAACCTCTGTGGGGAGCGATGACTGACAGTAACCACTCTGCAGGGAGAGACAGTGAACTGAGTGATCAGAAGTCACACGATTGTTCAGCTCTCGGTATATAGAGCCAGCATGTAACAGCTTAATGTCCAACACTGGCTCTTAGTATTGGGACGAGTACATTTTACTCTCCCAATACTTCTCCTTCAAAGTAATTTGCTTTTCATATCTTGCTCTTTCTGATGTTGTAATATTGCCATATGATCCATGATAAGCGATAAAAAATAGTAGCTCAGGGCATGAAAGGAACATCTTGCTGGCTGCTGCAAATTACATAAAGTAGGCTGCATGCCTTTTTGGACTTTTTTTTGTTCAGGCAAATAAAACACTGCATTTCAATGGACACCAATGGACACCTGGAGTACACAACTCTTCCTATAAAAAGTGCAACCACTGATAACAACTAGGAGACCAAAAAACATGTTTTGTCAGTCTGTCTTTTCATGAGTGATATCTGTCTGTCTTCTTACACTGTCTTGATACTTGTGGAGCTGTTCCATGAATCCGGGGTTTGGGCAGGCTGAAGGCCTGGCATTTTTTACAACTGAAAAGGCTCTGGCAAAATTCAGTTTTTCACTATACATCAAGTAACCGATAATTATTGCTGGAGCACGAGACACTCCTGCATTGCAGTGGACAAGCACCACGCCATCCTGCCAATATAAAAGTGTAGGGTTATATAACATTACATGTACAAAAGTTTCCTTTAGAATATCAAAAACTCCTTAAATAGAATACAAGTATTTGCAGCAACAGACCGTACCGGCTCACCCAGCTTGCTGCGTCTACATTCCTTCACCGTGTGCATAGTTGTGATCTTCCGCCTGAACAAATTCTTCTTCTCGCCTTATGGTATGGTATGTGGCAACCCCGACATATGACTATGCAATTTTTGTTCTGTCTATCCGTATATCTGGTATATTTGTATTGCTGGCTGCATTTATCTTTTTGTTATAAAAATAATAAATTAGAAATATCCAGAATCCACATTACAATCTGATGTGTGTGACCAGCTTAAAAGAGAACGAACTATGGGGTAAGTGTTTTTCCCCATAGTTCTCCTCAGGGTCATGGGAGGACATAAACTAGCGTCCTCTCGTGACCCAAAGCTCAGTATATTGCGTACATTACTGTTGAGATCCACCCAGCTGCGTGAGTGACAGCGGGCTCTGCCTATCTAGAGGATGAGCCAGCTGTACCCGCTCCCTCCCCGTCCGTTCCGCCAGTCAGCGCTGAAGGATCAGAGCTACTACTTCTGGGTCCTGTTCTGCTGCCATTCAGAGAAGGCCTAGTATTTCTATGAAATGAATACTAGGCGTTCCCTGATTGGACGAGGGTTGGTAATGATCTGAAGCTCTTTTTTTTAAAACGATCCTTACCCACTGTGACAACTGTCAATAGTATGGCATGACCGATGAGAAATTTCATAAGCAAGATAAATTAAAGGAGAACTATGGGGTCAGTGTTTTTCCCCATAGTTCTCCTTAGGGTAACGGGAGGACACAAACTAGCGTCCTCCCGTTACCCTAAGCTCAGTATACCGCGAGCTGCAGCTCGCGGTATACTGAGACGCCAGAGCGGATTCCGACGTAGATGACGGGATCCGCCCAGCTGCGTGAGTGACAGCTGGCTCTGCCTATCTAGAGGCAGAGCCAGCTGTACCCGCCCCCTCCCCCGTCCGTTCCGCCAGTCAGCGCTGGCAGATTGGAGCGGGGAGAGGGGAATCCAGCCCTCCCCCTGTCACGGCAGAGAGCCGTGACAGGATCGAGAGGTGAGCGAATGCCGGTATGTGTTCGCTCACCTCCCGATCTACTGAGCTGACCTGTGACAGTCTCATTGTCACAGGTCGGCTAGAACTATGAGGTGAGTGGAAATCACTCATCTCATAGTTCTCCTTTAAATGTTAAAAAATGCTACAATAAGGACATATAAGTTGTATGTTACTGTAAAAAAAGAAGGTATAGATAAGCAAAAGGGTTTGTTAGCAGCGACCAATTAAAGAAAATAGGCTTGCCATCTATGACATGAATTATTTTGTGCTTTAATGAGATAAACTATCCAATTTAATATGAATGTTTTGTACACTTAACAACATCAAGCTTCCATGACTGAAGAATCAACAAGCCAGGTCTATTATGTAGCTGTGCTGAGTGATACAATTATTCAATGCTTTTTATTCTGTCCATACATGTATACAAAACGGAAAACTTCTAAGTGTTAACAGCTCTGTGTAGCCGGAGAGAGGTCATTATGCAAAGCAGGGTTCAGATGGCCTGTAAATTATTCTTCACATGGGAAGAGGATACCACACAAAACAAAGAGCAGTGCAATCCAATCTTCCAAGATGTTAATCTATGATAACTAATCCACACTGGATCTAGTCAGAATTTAATCCCATATAAAGTTCGGCACCCTGCCCACAAACCTTGCTATGAATGAGATGATTATTAAGGTCTTTTGGGGGTTACAGCAAAGGGCGAAATAATATATAGTATTAGTTATGTATAGGGTGTAACATGTAGAGCTATACAAATGGCTACAAGAAACAAAAGTATAACTATTAGGCCTCATTCACACGGAGGTGCACAGCTGTACTGTATCCACGTCTGTGCAGATACCTGTGTCCTGGAGGGACAGGAGGCTGCTGTCTGTAGCCACATGCAGCTGCCTGTACATCTCTATGACAGGACGTGGCTGTATACAGCTACAAGCTGACCCCAACTTGCACATCCATATAGGTAAATATGTGCAAGTTGGACACGTCCCTATACTGTATTCAGGTGTATCATAATATATCATTGCGATAGCTCACTCCCTTTCTGCAGCTTTGATGTAGTAGCCACATTTCCATTGCCTGTACTGGCATAGCCCACCCTATCACACACCAACTGCCTACAAGTGCATCCTCCCTTATACAATAATAGGCAGGTGCACAGCTTAGACCGTTTTGAGCTATTCTCTTTACACCGCCCCCCCCTTTTTTTTCTCGAGTTTTTAACACGGCAGGTTTTTAGTTCTATCCAGGGCGCCATCAAAAGGGACTTTTTCTCACTTTCTGTTCAGTTACAACAGTTTTACTAGACAGGAAGTGAGGAAAAATTTGCAACAGGAACATGCATTTACATCTGACAGGTGTTGCTGTTGAAGATTTTCCCTCACTTCCTGTCTGGTAAAACATTGTCAACAAGACAGGAAGTGAGGAGAAATCTCTCCTATAGAACTCCCAGATAGCAGTAAACACCAGACAGTGGTATTAATCCTTCCCCTTTCTATCCAATACTAAAAAAAGTTTTGGGCTTGACATGCACTTTAATTTATTTGTTTCACTATCTTCTTTTAAAAAAAAAATGTAAGGCAGAATCTCTTAAAGTAGTATTAAACTCTCATATTTTTTTCAGTAATGAATGCAGTTTAAACAAATATACATTGCCCAGCAAAGTATTTCTTTACATTTTAGTCCAAGCATTTACAGTCATCATGTTTCCAAACAGCTCCAACTCTCTCAGCTTGGCTTCTGTAACTTCCTGTTGAGTACAAGATTACAAGGGACAGCGCAGTCTTCAGCAGCTATCCATCTGCTGGGATGGAGAAAGGAGAAGGAAGAGAGCAGGGGAAAGGTTTGTCTTGCCTGTGTGTTTGTGGATATAAACACTGCTTATAATCACACACAAGTGTGGTTACATAGGACCCTGCAAGGGAAAGGGGCCACCCTAAAACAGGATATCAGGACCAGTGCTCAGAGGACCAGTTCATACTGCAGAAAGCTAAAACCTTTAAACATCAAGAAGCAGCATCCATTGTAAGTGGTTTAATCAGCATTCCAAAAAGCTTAAACACCTGTTGACTTTAATATAACTTGCAGGCATGAGAGATCATGTGACCTATCGTCTGGCCCAAACACTGTCACATGAGGGAGGGGAACATTTTATCAACCCTGTGTAAACTCTATTTAAAAGAATTTGGATGCTTGGCTCTAACACGAACAGTAACAGAGCAATAAGGAAATGTGGGGAAGTTCAATATAAGTGGGATGGGGGCTGAGCTTCCCAGAGATTCTGTCACTTTGTCATTAATGGACAACATCACAGAGTCTCTTTAAGACTCAAAATACCGGGTGATCCTGCCAGAAAACTTTCCATTCTAGTTACGGTGAAAAGGGAAGAGGGAGGTTATTACAGTCCAGTCCTAGAGTGAAAATGTTGCTTCTTTGTAAATACAGTACAGTGTCAGGGTTTCTTACCCTTTCTTGTCCAGTAGCTTGGAGCATGGCTTCTGTACTCTTTGGTGCCCTCTTATTACCAAACCCGTTAACATCATCATTCTGCAACCCACTAGCAAAACTCCTGGCAAATTCCTGTCTCAGAGCGATGATGCAAACGCCAGTTCACTTTATAACCTGCAGCTTGTCCATTCAGTCTCAGTCCTTGCATGTGTTCTCATCTACCAAGTGCTCTGCAGTTCTTCCTGTTCTCTGTATATGATCCTGGCTCTGGCTCACTAATCTCCTGGTTTCTGACTCCGGCTATTGTTTAGTTCATCCTGCTCTCAGTGTTGCCTGACCTGGTTGGGCTTACTACCTGCTTTGGCATCTGACCTCTGGCTTGGCACTGACAACGACCTGGACTTACTCCATTGGTTTTCGTTGTTTTCAATAAACTCCTTTTATTTTTTAAGCCTGTACTTTGGTTGCTGTCTGGTTTCTTTGTATCCTGACCGTAAGTGAACATTGTCTTCCTTTTACACCTGGTTTCCCCTGGCTCTGGCTGGGTTCGAAAAAACAGATGAAACTGTTTAAATTTCATCTGAGCCGATCGTGCCAGATTGGGGGTAATCTGATTAAAACATGTCCATTTACATCAGATTCCACACAGAAACACATGGGGTCCAGCAGTTTCAGTTTTAATAAACTGTTCGGACACGGATGTCACATCGGTGACATCCGATCCGTACTGCTCTGATCAGCAGAGGATCTGTGCATGGATCCTCTCCTGATTAGTCCATGTGCAAGGGGCCTAAGTGTTCAGCATAAGTCCCCATGTAGATGAGGTCCTGTTTCCAGCCTAATGAGGATAGGTGAGGAGGAGCTGGATCAGGAGTACGGAGGGCTACTGATAGCTGGATGAGGAGGGACAGGTTAAGATCTGATGAGGGATTTACATCCTATCATATCCCATATGCAGAAAGGTGAGTTCAATCAGTAGCTCAGGTAGGCTGTAAGGCTGTAGCAAGCAGTAGATAAATGCAAAAAAAAAAAAAAATGTAAAAGTTACCAAAAAGGTAATTACTTACCTCTGTCACCGCCCCTCGCTCCTGTCTGAAGATCTGGAACTGCTCGAACGGCTGAGCAGGATGATGGGGAGGGCGCATGCGCAGTAGAGATCTTCGGCGGGGAGGAGACACAGTGTAAAGCTGGCCACAGACCTTACAACCATCGCAAGACTTTTGTCTTGCAATGGTTGTAAGGTAATTAAAAAAAGGACGATCTGCCCATCTTGGGGCGGGCTTCCGATGACCGCAATGCTGAACGGGCAGTGTGCGCTTGCGCACACCGGCCCGTGCGGCATTTATCTTACAAACATGCTACACACCCGCCGAACATCGTACGATTCTCGGCAGGTTTTCGAACATGTCCCTAAGATAAAAGTCGTGCGACCGCACAGTAAAAACGGTTGCACCCCTTCCACACACCTTGCGATAATCGTACGATCGCGGGAATTCCCGTGATTATCGTGCGATTATCGCAACGTGTGCGGGCACCTTTAGTCAATGCATGCAGAGGGAGCGTGCACATCGAACAGACACCGTGGGACACAAAAGACACAGTAGTCAGCGCTGGATCAGAGACCGGCACTAGCACTGAAGGGATTACTGAATACAAGTGAAGGAAGAAGATGATCGGATCAAGAGGCATCATTTAAGGTAAGCAAGCATTAGATATGTGCAAAAAGGGAGGGAAAAACATTTTTGACTTTAATGTCACTTTAAAGCAGCATGGCGGGGGGCGGAAAAGATTTGTAACTTTAATGTCACTTAAATAATTCCAGCTCTACAAATAAATTGATATTGGGTTGTATATTCACTTGAATGAGTGTTGCTGGGTTTTTTTCTGCTACAAAAACAGTGGTGTAACTGTACAAAATGTCCTTAATAATCCATCATTGTTGCACTACTGGACAGTAAAACAATAACTGTACTACAGGAAAAATGAATTGTATGTGGTCCTGTGACCAGGCTCTTTAATGGAGAACTATGAGGAGTGAAATGCACTCATCCCCATAGTTAGAGCCAACACGTGACAATGCAGCTGTCAGACGTCGGCTCTATTGATCGAGAACTGAGCGAGCGATCACATACTGCTGATTGGCCAGTTCCTGATCTTGTCCCTGCAGGAGGTATTCCCCTCTCCATTCCTCCAGCGCTGGCTGGAGGGATGGATGGTGGAGGCAGAGTGGCGGGGTGGATCCCGACAATATTGTCGGGATCTTTCCCGGCCGCAACGTGGCTCTGCACTGTCCGCCCGCTATGTGCTGAGTTTTGGGTCACAGGAGAATGCCCTCCTGTGACGAAAGAGAAGTAAGGCCAAAAAAAGTCTGGCCATAGTTCTTTTTTAAAATGAAGAGTGCTGAACTGTAATCTAGGAAAATAAAGAGTATGAGAAATTCTTACCTCCTTTTTTGTTTGGTCTATGAAATCAAAGCACTCTGGGAAATAGGAAGTGATGTCAGTCTCAGGAAGATCAAGGATGGAAAGCTTCCTATAAGTAAATTCATTTGGAAATACATTTTCCACACCATAGGCTACATTCAAAATATGGGTGACCTAAATAATGAGAAGAGAAATAAAAAATGCTAGAGGTATTAAAATAAAAAAACACCATCAAACTGAGAAATGTTTCTCTGCGGTGCAAATATGCAGCACTAAAAACATTAAAGTAGTATTAAACTCTCAATCTTTTTGATTAATGAATCCAGATCGAACAAATATACATCGCCCCACAAAGTATTTCTTTATATTTTCGCCCAAGCACTTACAGTCATCATGTTTCCGAACAGCTGGCTTCAAATCTCTCAGTTCCTCTTCCCTGAACGTCCTGTCCGGTACAAGATCACAAGCGACAGCACAGTCAACAACTGTCCATCTACAAGTTTAGAGAAGGGAGGAGAGCGGAGAGCAGGGAGCTGGGAACTGGCTTTCCTTGCTGTGCTTGCATGTTTATGGACGTCACAAGTCCTGTAGCACCCCTTACCGGAAATCCCAAAGAGGTTAAACGGGTGCTCAAAATGACAGCGGATGGCGCCGCACATAGAACAACTTTGGATGAGGATGTCACCAGCACACCATATTCCGAGTGACATATCATTAAATGGATTCGCACTGACCCATGTGTTTTTGTCGTGCCTGGTGTGCTGGTGACATCCTCATCCAAAGTTGCATGTTTATGGAGACACACACAGCATACTAGCACACGCAAGGGTGGCTCCACAGGACCCTTCAACGGGAAGGGCCACCCTAAAACAGGATATCAGGGCCAGCCCTCAGGAGACCAGCTGGTTCTACAGGAAACTAACACTTTCACACATCAAGGAGCAGCATCCATTGTAAGTGATTTAATGTGTTTGAAATGGCTTAAAGATGTTTGATGTTAATATTACTTTAAAGTTGATCAATCTAAAGGAGATCATTCAATCAGATTGTATTGTGAATGGTTACCTTTAAACTGTAAATAATTTAAATGAAGGGTGCCTCATTTGGCTGTTACAATGTGAGAGCCCAAATCCTGCAAAAAAAAAAGAACCTCTATATTTTAACTATTAAAACATTTATAGTATGACTGAAGAAATCTTCAACAACTCATCTCTACTTAGGCCCCTTTCACATGGGCTGATCAGGAGAGGACCCCTGCATGGATCCTCTCCTGATCACAGCAATATGGACAGAATGGCACCACTGTGACATCCGTGTCCCTACAGTTTTTTCCTCCATGTTTTGACGAAGGAAAAAAAAATGAATTTACTGGACCCAATGCCAGTCTATGGGGAATCAGATGTAAATGGACCCCCGATCCGGCACAATACAATCTGGCGAAAAAGTTTTCTGGACCTGGCTGGAGGTGGGGATAACCGGGTGTAAACAGATGCTCACAGCTGCCCATATACTTGCATTGGGCATCCGATCAGGTCTGTCTGAAAAACTGACAGGCGGACCCGATCGGAGCGACCGTGTGAAAAGGGCCTTAGAGAGAAGGAAACAGTGTAGATGATATGTGGAGGGTTCTTCTCCTGTGACTTCCAGAGTGGCACCTGATGCTGGGAACCTAACCTGGATAATAACCTGAATGTACCTGCTGACCATATATAAATTAGTAAACTGATATAGAAAATCAGTTTTGATACAGAGAAGATATCACGTGGTTACCTACAGGATAAATATTACTGCTCTGACTACCTTACAATAAATTGGATGGTTTGCTATGTGTCACTGAACTTTGCATATTACACTAGTACTATACAAAACACAAACTGCTGATAGCTTAGCTCACGGCTTCTCCCTGCAGAAAGTGGTGATTGTCAGTCACTGCATCCCGCAGGGATTCCCCCCTCCCCTCTCTCTGTTCCTCCAGCACTCATTGGAGGGACAGACAGGAGAGGGGGCGGCACAGCTGGCTCTGGCTCTACACAGGCAGAGTCAACTGTCAATCAGGCAGTGGTGTGGTTCCCAATCATATTGTTGGGATCCTTCATGGCTGCAACGTGGTTCTGCGCTGTCAGCATATAGTGGGTAGTAGACCTGGGCTGAGTGACACTATGAGTTGCATGGTCTCATTGGTTATAGCCATCAGTTTTCCATCGATAATTGCCGGATAACCAAAGTGTGGACAAAAGTCCAACATGGTGCTATGCATTTATCAAGGTACATGTGTTATATGGCCGTTTAATGTCTAGTAATATTGAATCATTCTAGGGAGAACTTTAATTTTCATTACATCCCACTCTCTTATCTTGCAGGGTTTCTTCTTCCCAAAGTATATGAAATACATGTGTTATAGCCATGAAAAGGCTAATTTTTACCTTATATTTTTTTAGTACATCTAGGTCCTGTGCAACATCTTGCGAACCTAAAATCAAATAAAATGAAATAGATTGCATAAGAAAGCCTTGTTTATAAAGGTCATTTTAGTTTCCTATCCGTTCTCTATAAGTGTTGATTACATGTAACATATCACTACAGCTACTATTACAGTTGACCTCCATAGCTTTACAGAGGATTGTCAACAGTGTAGGCAACAGAATCATCACTGACTCTCATATAAGACAGCACACTCTCTGAGTGCAGAGCTGCCAACTCATAAAACCATCATCAGTAATTCTGACCAGCCAGTAAAGACAAGAAAATTGGCAATACAATAAGTATTCAAATGCCACAAAATGCCAATTGACTAAGCACTCATCAAGGACATTCATCAAATGTCCTTGATTTATGATAGAGTCCATCAAATGTCCTTGATTTATGATAGAGCCCATCAAATGTCCCTGATTAATGATAGAGCCCATCAAATGTCCTTGATTTATGATAGAGCCCATCACATGTCCTTGGTTAATGATAGAGCCCATCACATGTCCTTGGTTAATGATAGAGTCCATCAAATTTCCTTGATTTATGATAGAGCCCATCAAATGTCCTTGGTTAATGATAGAGTCCATCAAATTTCCTTGATTTATGATAGAGCCCATCAAATGTCCTTGGTTAATGATAGAGTCCATCAAATTTCCTTGATTTATGATAGAGCCCATCAAATGTCCTTGATGAATGATAGAGTCCATCACATTTCCTTGATTTATGATAGAGCCCATCAAATGTCCTTGGTTAATGATAGAGTCCATCAAATTTCCTTGATGATAGAGCCCATCAAATATCCTTGATTTATGACAGAGCCCATCAAATGTCCTTGATTTATGACAGAACCCATCAAATGTCCTTGATTTATGATAGAGCCCATCAAATGTCCTTGATTTATGATAGAGCCCATCAAAAGTCCTTGATTTATGATAGAGCCCATCAAAAGTCCTTGATTTATGATAGAGCCCATCAAATGTCCTTGATTTATGATAGAGCCCATCAAATGTCCCTGATTTATGATAGAGCCCATCAAATGTCCTTGATTTATGATAGAGCCCATCAAATGTCCTTGATTTATGATATGATATGTTTATAAATTCCCCTGCATGCCCAAAATCGGTCAAATATGACACATAGGGGGGAATTTATCAAAACTGGAGCAAACAGAATCTGGAGCAGTTGCCCATTGCAACCAATCAGCATCTCTCTTTAGTTTGCTCAGGTAAGATTTGAAAATGAGAGAGAGAGGCTGATTGGCTGCAATGCAAATCTGCTCCATTGTGTCTGCTCCAGTTTTGATAAATTCCCCCATAATCTTTTTCTACATGCTATTATCAGTTCAAGTCATACCGTATATGAATGTTTTCTGGGCCTTTACATTTATTGAAGAAGAACATTCCAAATGCCAAAAAAGTATTTCTGTTTCTACAACAAATAGTTGGATCTCTGGTTCCCTGTGCTTCACTGAGACAAGATGTACATACGACTAAGAGAAACAACCTTCAACCTCGGATTTGCTGATCTGCATACTAGCTTTGAGTCAGTTATTCAAGTTGCATTAAAGCTAATGGGCCAACATAACACTAACCCAATTTGCATTTTCAGGAGGACCTCAGCAATGGCAGCACTATTATTTCTCTCATAACACATTCACTTTACCTGCAGATATTTGGCCATCCAAGGTTACTTATATAGGTGGTCCAAACATATGCCAACTACCCATCTCATGTCAGGGACACTAGAAATGATGTTAGTATGCTCAATCAGTAAGCTCCAAATACACATCACTAAAGCTGGCCACAATGTGGGCTGAACAAAAAAATATAACAGATTCCTCCATCCACGTTTAAACAGCACGGATGGACAAATCTCCTGCTGAGCTGTTGTATTCCGACAGCGATGAGTGTGCCACTGCATAGTGACAGGCCACCGTCATGTTTGCACCCGAAGCGATTTCTTGATCGAAGGATGTTGGATGGAGGAATGCTAAAAGGGCCACCTACTGAGCACATTTTGTCCGGTTCATCAAGGACCAGCTGAAATCTCACAGTGTACGGCCAGCTTTAAGTTGTCAGACAATTGCTCCTTCCTACATGCCTAAACAATACACAGGTAACTATTCAGTGGGAAGATGGAGAGTGAAGAGCCTTCTCTTCAGATGATCTGCATGTTTATGGGTATCTACATTCTTCTTCAGCAGCAAAAGTGTTCTTGAAGTTGTTTAAAAATGTTGGCAACTATGGAATTGTATAGATATTGCAATCAGTAAGTGATCCTGAACGTGAGGCAGTTCGTGTGGTCTAATCTCGAGTCTAACATCACTGTGAAGAGTTTTAAGCATAAAGGTCTGTCCAGTTTAAACTGATGTTTCAATTTTTGGTAGCTGCTAGAGTTAAACTACATGAGAGATGCTGGAGTTATATTCTTTTATTCTCTTCTATGGTAGGATTCTATTGGTGCGATCCAATTCTAGGATTCTATTGGTGAGATCTCCTTGCGTTCCTGGGTCGGCTATCCTGCTGTGGCTAACATGAGTGTGTGGTCACATTCTTCCTCTTAGGCTGCGTACCGCATGGACATAGAATTATGTAAATAGTGGATGTTTTCAGAACATTCGATTTTCTCGATGAACCTAATTCCAACAATGAATGTGGTTTTTGTTTGGGAAACTCCATTCATTTCAAAATCGAATGTTGAAATCAGACGAATGTTTGGACGACATTTGTCTCCAATAGCATTATTCAATGTTCTGACAAGATTTTTCTTAAGAATGTGATACGGAATTCTAACCGCGTATACCCAGCTTTACACTTTTTATTTCATCACGTGACGCTTGTCACAAGAGGCACTGAAACACACAATGGTGGCCAGGAATAGAGTCAGGTATTATGGAATTTTCACTGCAGAAGAACCTTTGGCAAATAAGAAGCCAGTGGTGGATTCAGCCTATTGAGTTCCAACTATAATTAAAATATACCTTTTAGGTGGACTGACCCTTAAACAATGACAATTGCTTACTTTTAGGTTTCTGATACAAACCAAAAAAAAAAAAGGTATAATCGAATGTACACAATGTCACACTTACCCAACAATAGCCAGGGCTTGATGACCCCCAGCTGCAGGTCCATGCTAAGGTCCTGCACATATCCACAGGCTGGTCCATCTTGTTGATCTGGATCATCCACAACATGCACCAGTGAATCTTTCCATGTCTCTATGATTCTCTTTCCTGATAGTGTTGTAACTCGAGTGCATTGTTTCTTGAGTCTGTTTTTAGAGAACCCTTTGATCTCATCACCAAGTGAGTGCATCACATGAGCAATCGCTCTACAATGTACAGAGGAGACGTGTACCGACAGCAGACACTGCGAACCAAGCTCACATCTGATCCCTTCCTAGTCCTGGGCGTTCATTCAAGTGTTCCTGGATGACATAACAGAAGCCTTGTTATTGGTTATTCTGTCCCCAGCCTTCATTGGCTGCTTCGCAGAAGGCAGAATGTGAAAGCTGGAACTGCAGATCTGGTTCCTTCAGTGCATATTGTCTGTGCGACACGCTGATTGATCTCTGCTCAGAATAGGAAACTTTTTGACAGCTTGTTTTTATTTATATTACAAAAAAAGAATAAATCAAAAATATATTCTTTACCACTTACATGTCCCTTAATGAACAAACAAAAACCTATGAAACCAGGCAGATAGAAGCTCCCACTCATACTAGTAGCACACGGGAATGTGCGCAAAATTGCACATTTTTGCGCACGTTCATGCAAGCAATCAGGCACGATTCCGCGCGGGTCAGGAGTCGCCAAGGTGTGAATCGATCATGCTGTGGGTGCCATTATTTTCTAATGGCACCTGAGTCGCGTCGGGCGGATCGCGCGATTTCCGGCAGCTATTCCGCCTGTGCTTCCGAACACTAAAACAGCTGCGCGTTGTGTATAGCATAAAAAAGGTACTTGTACCTTTTCTCTGCGATTGCCGTGCGGATGTCACCCCATTGAAATCAATGGGGCCGCGCGGCAATCGCTGTCTGCATTTTACAGGACCGCACGACGTGCGTCCCAGGTGTCGTGCGGTGTAGTGCAGGTGTGAACCTAGCCTGAAGGCCACCCTGAACGCTCCAAGCAAAATGTGCGTCTTGGTGCATCTTGGTGTGTGTGTCAAAAAACGCACAGCTTATACTGCTGCATTATTTACCGCACGTAGGGCAGCCAGATGAAATGAATGGGTTGTCCTATGCGTTCACACCCTGGATTAGTGTCAATGGGGGCTAAAATATGACAACTTAAACAATGTGTATATTTATTCAGGAAAAAAATGTACGGCTTGTTGACACTATTTCAATACATCAACGCGAAGGGACATAAAAAATGTGTTTTCTATCTGCCCTGTCATACTAAAACCTAATGAAGGGGACCCTGCGTGGCCCCAAAACTTTGTTTTGTGACAGTCTGCATCAATAAAGATAATGGATTATTGACACAAGACATAGGTGTGCTGGTGACATTTATCATATATTCTATCTACCCTCTTCACACCATAAGCCCCCATTCACCCCTGAGCATTCTGCTGCACGCTTCCCTAGGGTACACAGCTCAATGTGAAGAATACCATTATTCTCAATGGTGCTCATTCATTCCCGTGCGTTGTGTCGCTTGTAGTTGCAAAAATTCATGAGTTTGTTTTTGTGCAGAACGGTGCGCTTTGGCCCCATAGACCACCTCCTTCTCCTAGTCAATAGCTTTCCATTGGCTAACACAAAAACATGACACATTGGCTAACACAAAAACATCCAAGCCTGAAAATGCTATAACAAAGCACAAATACGCTTGAAAATTGTGCGAAAATGTTCACACTCATGAATGAATGGGGGCTTATGCTGCGTTAAGGTGAATATTTGCATATTTCCCCTCACTTCCTGTTTATTAGTAGAGTATGGGAAGACTAGAACATAAGGCAATTTTTTATTATTGTCTGTGTCCCTGTTGCAGATTTTCCCTCATTTCCTGTCTGGTGAATCCATTGTTACCATGAGAGGAAATCTCTACCAGAATCCCAGATAGCAATAAACTATGACCGCAGTTCAAATCCTTTTGACTCTATCCCAAAAAACTAAGGGGGGAATTTATCAAAACTGGAGCAGACAAAAACTGGAGCAGCTGTGCACAGCAACCAATCAGCTTCTGGCTTTCATTTTCAAATCTTAACTGAACAAACTGAAGAGTGAAGCTGATTGGCTGTCATGGGCAACTGCTCCAGATTCTGTCTGCTTTCCAGTTTTGATAAACCCCCCCCCCCC